ATAACCATTTAAAGTCAACAATTTCAACTACAGCTAATTCGAAAATTTTTTCACAGCTCAGATCGTTGAGAAATGTAACTTCCCTGGTATTTAACTCTTTGGTTACAAATATACATGATCCACCATCTAATCTAATCTATGATACATAGTTTTTCTAAAACTTTACTAAATACCGTCAACATAGAAATAGGTCTGTAGTTTGTTGTGTCAGCTTTATCACCTCCTTCATACAGAGGCTTTATGACTGCATACTTCAAATGATCAGGAAATGTACCAATCATAATAGACATGTTGCAAATGTAAGAAAAGGCTCATTTATAGCCATGCTACACAATTTTAATATGTTTGATGTGATACCATCATCCGTTATATGCATGTCAATTTTGCTTTAATTTTGTCAGCCCCCAAATTGAGAGGTATGTACCAAAACTTCTGAGTTGTGTACTTAACGTAATATGAGCATGTTGATAATGTAGAAGTGTTAGACAAAAGAATAAATACCATGGAATTGTCTTCTAAAGTTTGTAACAGTGATTGTCTGAAGGTAAATATAAATGAAACAGAGTTGGTGTAGCAACAGATTATGGGCTGGGTGATCAGGGTTTGATCCCCAGCAGGCCAAGATATTTTTCTCTACTTCACTGCATTCAGACCGGCTCTGGGGCCCACAACCTCCTATCCAGTGGGTACAAGGGACACTTCCCAAGGGGTAAAGTGGGCAGGGTGTGAAGCTGACCACTCCCATCTAGTTGTGAGGTCAAGAATGGTGGAGCTATACCTCCACTCCCCCATATGTCCTCATGGCATTGTGCTTAATTTATTAAGCACAAGGACAACTTTGTTTTTTTTTTTCACATATTAACATTTCATAAAATCAGAATCACCAACTTATGAAACATTTACTGATATCCATGTGAGTAGGCATGGTCTGGACATTGCAAGGTAAAAATAAAGAAACATTGTTTTCCTAATGACTTACTGATGTGTCAAGATTTTCTTTTTCTCTTTGTGGCCTTCTGCATGGCTGCTTCAGTCATCAACCTATTTGCTTGCTTACACCACCAAGGAATATAAATTCTTGTCAGTCCATTCACAATACCATGTACTATTTGTACAATACAGCCAATACAATTAATACAAATTTAATGCAGTTCTTAATGACAGGTGTGATATGCTGTTCTCCTGAATTCAAATTAAGTTCTTGCAGCAGAGAATGCCTTGTTCTAGGCTTTGATGATTGATATGCCTGCATTTGCCATCAGAAGCATTTGTAGCATTTCTTTCACTGCAGAGCTGTTGGTGATGGCTGCATGGACAGGAATAAGTGTTACAGCAGAGGGCACCAGTGTCTGGTGGAAGGCAGGGCACAAATATTCTCTTCTGAGGACAGGGGACCCAAGGAAGGGGTATATAATGAAGGGACAGGAGATTGTGGGAGTGACTGTGAAGCAGATTCTGAGCCACCTGGAACTGCCACTGTTGAGGGGTACCCTTTCATCTGTAGTGAAATGTCTGCTGCACAAATATCAACAGTGCAGGAAATCCCGACTTTTCCTACTCATAACAGAGACTGTCCCAAAACCTAGAAATGTTACAAACATGATTCATATGATAAATTTTTGGTTTATATTGAATAAACTTAAGTTCATTCATCCTGGTCTATCACACTAGTAATTGTATATAAGATTTTTAAGCACTTTTATTAATTACACTGGACAGTGCTTAGAAATCTTATATACTTTGAATAAATTTAATCCAGTCATAGGCTAAACTTAATTTATTCATGCGATTTTAAGTTACCAACATATAACTACGATATTCACAACAAAGGATTTCCAGGACTAGAAATATGTAATGGGAAAATGGCCTTCATGAGTTCTAAATAGTTCTTCAGTTTTTGGGTACATGTAAGGGTGCTCCCCTGTCATTGGTTACTTACAGTTAGGAATTGAATTTAATGTGATCATTACCACAGGAATTAAATTATCACATTCTTAATAGAAGCGACAATGATTAAGCAGCACATAATGAAGCCATTACATCTTGAACTAAAACAGGCATACTGTGCTGGATCCCTGGGAGCTGTTGAATCTTAATTCTTTCTGTCTACTGGATGGAAAACGCCCACAGGCAGATCATACTTTCGTTTTTATCCATTGTACCCATTTTATACTGCAATACAAAAACTGTAACACAACCACAGTAGTTAGATTTTTTTGACATTATACAGACCTTCTTTGGGCTGCACCAAAAAATGCGTAACCTGTCATAACACAAATATGATTTGGATGAAATATCAACCACAAGAATTTTTTTGGCTTGATATATATTTATAATTTCGTTTGGTGTAGTAGGCGTAACATTCATATACACAAATAACCTGTTTAACATGGGGATTGAACTTCATGTGTAAACATCGACTCCTGTTTCACACCGACATCAAATCAAAATCAACACTTACTAATCAGCAGAGAATAAATAATAAGTCACTATTCCACAACTGATCATGACCAATCACGGCTGATCATGAGTGATCATATTTCAAATACAGAAAAGAATAATAAGAATTATTACCAATTCTCATAATGTGGACTCGTGCTATAATTTGTTAAGGAGTTACATATACTGCCACTTCATTCGCAATATATATTTGCCTTACTTATGTTGGTTGTCAAGAATAGAGATTGCTATATAACAAACTCTGAAGTCCAGACCAGTAATACCAGATTTAATCATGACTTGCATCCTCCGGTGGTAAACTTAACAATATTTCAGAAAGGTGAATGGTATTCTGGTATCAAACTTTATAACCACCTCCCTCCAGAGCTTAAACAATTATCTTAAGACATCCGTGGATTTAAAGTGGTGTTAAAGAAGTTTCTTATCACCAATTCCTTTTACACTGTTGAAGAGTACTACTGCTGGAATAAAGATTGATCCCTCATGTATATTTAAATAAACACTGTTGCCTGTTGCTAGGATGCAACGGACTATGGAATAAAATACACAGGAAAAAGGTACTATTACTGTTGTGGTATAGGTGTGTTATATATTAACACGTTGTGGTCCGCCCACACATTAATACGTTTTTTGCTTTAAACGTGGCGGACTGGTTGCGTATTAATACGTTTTTAGAATATGGTAAGTTGCAACACACTATAAATCATTCTGACGCCACCCAGCTTGCACGTAGCTGCCTGCAGCTGCGTGATAAGCCTCTGGAATGTTTGCTGACTAATCAGTCACGTGACCTCGCTGTAACTGTACGCCCCTGCAAAGGAAAATNTTAACACCACATATACACGGCGCCAAAGCCCAGAAGACTGCTTTCTTCGAAAATAAATGCCTTTATTTCTTCAAGCTGTGCGTAGCAAGCTGTCAGTGAGTAGTGCAATATGCGAACATATAATCCTGGGAACTTACGAAGTATGGCCTACTTGTTCGCGTAGTTACTGAAACCACTTCAGGCTATATTGGAAATTTAGAATTTTATTCTGGTGAAGGAAAGAAATTACAAGAAACTATTCTTTCCATTTTGGAACCCTATCTTGGTCAAAATTACCATGTCTATCAAGACAATTATTATAAAAGTGTGGCAACTGCAGAACAGCTACTTTCGAGAAAAGTACGTGTTTGTGGAACAATTAGGATGAACAGAGGCCTTCCTCCAGATCTGAAAGAGGAATGTAAATCCCTGAAACGTGGTGAAACCCAATTCAGGAGGAAGGGGGATATTCTTCTTCAGTCCTGGAGGGATACTCGTGTTGTGAACATGATTTCTGCAATTCACAATTCAAGCACTGTTGATGTTCAAAGGAGACATGGGCAGGTAAAGAAGCCTGTTTGTATTTCCGAGTATAATATGGTCATGAAGGGAGTTGATAGAGCCATTCAGTACTTGGCCTATTATTCTCTTCCTCGGAAAACAGTAAAGTGGACAAAGAAAGTTGCCTTATGGCTTATAAATTGTGCCATTTTCAATTCATTTTTGGTTTTCAAAAATCTAAACCCTCATTCAAAATTGAAATACAAGGCATTTCTGCTGAATGTGGCAAAACCCTGGGCTACAGACCACATGGTGGCGGCAGAACCAGCGGCAGACACAGACTTAGTGTGACCAGGCCCGTCTACTCCCACCCAACGCAGGCAGCATTTTGACCCCCCTGGGTGACTCTCAGGTGATATGTGGAAACATACCCTCACAAAAATTGTGAAGAGTGAACATTTCAAGGGGAAGCATCCTTCTAGGCAATGCTATGTTTGCACAGTTCACAAGAAAGGAGTACGACTGTCTACATTTGCAAGTTTTGTGTAATGCCCCTTCACAGAGGGGGAATGTTTGTACTTCTAGGAGCACTGGTAAGTGTTCTAAAAAATTTTTAGTTCATAAAATTAATTAGGAGATGTTATATTAATTTTTAAAGTGAACAATGCACACGCACAGTAGTAGGTAAAAAATGCTGGTCCCCAGGTTAATTTAAATATTTAAATTGCCTGTCCGCAAAGTGTTAAGAAATTAGATTTTATATGACTATATTAAGAGTCTTGGTGGTCTCTTGATCATGTATGTAATTTTATATGTTTTTTTTTATATATATATATGGAATGTATTGTTGTACAGTAGTCTTGTATTAAGCATTTAAAATTTTGACAATGATGACTATCTGATTATGTATGTATATTCATGTTATATTGTATTGTTGACTTGTTCTATATCTGAGGCAGTCACCTCCGTGTATTTTGTACAAGTGTAAATAAATGAATGAATGAATGAATTTTCAAGAGATTTTTCCACTCTCCCACTGTCAACATTTTCCTTTTCACTGCCACTTTTAAAAATCCATTCATTGTATTCAAGCACCATAAATACTAATACATAAACATTACAAATAGACAACATATTGTAAGAAGTAAAATATATTTTTTTAATATCTGTTCCATTTCCGACACCTGTTGCTTAGATCCACAGTATCACTTCCTTATACAATGTTACTTCCATTCATTGTTCAGTAATTTAAAGTTTTCCCTCATTTACTGATCAGTCTGAACTGAATCATTTATTCTGAAAAGGGCATGAGTTAACGAAACTAAACTTTAGAGCAGAAACAGAAAACTGTTTGTGTGGTTGCCACTAATGTCTAAAGTTACCATTTCTTACAGATAAATTCTGTAGTACACCTGTCTGCACACTGTCTTGTATGTAAATTTTATTTCGGAATCTTACACTTGTGACAAATCATTTTTCCTTCATGTTTTGTGCTCTTTCTGAAACTGTCCAAATGTCATACATGTTATTAAAAAAAGCAAGCACTGGTTTTACAAATGCAACAAAATATATAATAATGAAGCAATATTTTGTTTCAAAATCTTACTATTCGAAAGTTATTCGTTCTCCTGACTTTCAAAACTAACCCAATATTAGCACTCTTACTATGTATCAATACACTTCATTAAGAAAAACACTGCCTCTATAGAAAACAAACAGGATGTAAACTAGTAATCATGTTTTATTTAACAAAATTTATTAGACATTCTTATCAGCTGTTTAAAAACGGACATAATAACAAACAATGCAAAATAATCTGCTGGAGATTGTGTATGTTTATTTTGAACATTGCATTGGTCAAAAAATGTAGCAATTAACCTACTGTATTTAACAGATTGAACACATGGCTCAAGTCATTTTCAGATCTGTTGTAGGTTTGCTTTGATGAGCCCAAATCCACAAAATGTGAGTACATCCAAATTACTGGCTTGCCCTTTTCAAAATAAAGGGCTTAGTTATCCCAAGTTAGTAATGTGTGTTAAATTTGTTATGTTTAAGACTTTCCTCAGTTTAGTGCTCAACTCCATTGCTCCCCAAAGAAGCCTTAAATGGAGGTGTCACTGTATGTGGAAGGCATGAAGAGGGAACTATTCCTGATTAGAAAACTTATACTCTGAACAACATTAAACTACTACTTCACTGCTCCTTGTCATATTTAATGGATTATTTTAATTTATTAAAAAGCTGTAAAAACTCCATTAATTTCACTTGTAAGCAAACAAAATCTAATGTCAAGAAATATGCCCCTTTATATATTGGATCAAACAGCCATCTGCATTATCAGAGGTGAAGAGACTCATTTCAGTGCACGTATGCAACCTGTAGCCAGTTGTCGATATGTGATATCAAAGCCAAGTTCTTGTTCTGGTTCTACGATGTCATCTGAATGGAAGCGGAGAATTATTGGACCTGCTGCATAACCTGTAGGGAAGAGTGTCAGATTTAACCAAAGATCAATTGTACTTCTGTATGTTAATGGACACAGAATAAAAATCTGTAGAAAAAATTCTTAAAATAGAAATACCTATATAAACAGTCAAAATTCCTTTGAAGAATACAAAATTAAATACTGATTAAGCTTCCTCTCATTGTCATAGATTATAATCTTCATTTGTTCCAGTTGTAAGGATTCTTCCAGTTTAAAGTTTAGGTGCTTTCCATTGCATTCCATATAAAAAATTGTAATTAGGTCATAAGATGCAACATATGCATTATATAACTCAGACTGATACAGTGACCTTATTACATGTATCTTTTTGTTGAAAGCCCCTGGCAGTGTATGTTAATGCAGAAGTTCTTTGATTCAGTTTCAGACATTTTCCAAATGATCTGGCCATTTATGTGACACTGCGTTGATGTCTGTCATTCGCAGTTTAACTCTAACATACTGAGTAAATTTATGATGTGACATTCTGTACCTGCATTAGCTCTAATGAAACACATTTATGCTATTGTCATTTTGCAACTTCTTGTGTTTATTATTTATATTTATTTATAACTCATTTAATGATGTGGTCAGCAGCTCAGATTATATAGCATCAAATGATGAGATAATTAGTATAATGAATTTGAAAGGACATGGATGGAAGTGACTGTGACCTGATTTGTGGTACTGTCTTGCAGTATGCCTGGAGGGACTGAGAGAAATTATGTGAAACCTGTCACTATATCTGCAGATCAAACCAGGCATTCCTCCCCAATTCACGTCAGAAGCGTTACTGCTTAGCACAAATTACATGCCCCCCCACATGTTACCTGAAATATAATAACTTTAATGTACATGAGTATGTACTAGGGTGACCAGACATACTGTTTTTGAGAGATGTGTCCCATTGCCCTGACAAAGATTAAATGGGATGTAAAGAGTGCCATCTTACATGTATTTTGAAGTTATGTAAAAATTTTATCTTATAAAGACATTTTGTAAGCGGTACTTTAGTATAGTTTCCATTATAAATGCTTCACAAACTGATGAAGAGAACCGTTTCTTTGTTGAAATTATCAAAGTTGTTATAATGATAAAGATATGTTTTGGGGACCTTACATTCAGTGACTATTATATCTTGCTTTGAAACAACTCCAAATTGCTGCAAGCTGTCTGTTCATCTCAGAAGTACAGAATATCTGACTAAGAGGGGGAACAGACTCCAGCATGAGCTGGAAATGTGTGGCTGCCAAATGCTACGTATAAAAATGCATGTCCCATTTTTTATTTGTAAAATCTTGTCATCCTAGTGTATATTGTATGTATAATATACTTGTCTTGTTTATGTACTGAGCTCTAAAACATCTTAGTATGAAAATGGAATTTCCCATGTTTACTTGCAGACAGCAGATGGACAGATTCACAACCTGTGACTATCTGGGATATTCTGTTCTGTGCATCCATACAAATAGCTAAGTAATTTGCACACTGACACGTTTACATCATCGCAGATGCACGCACAGCAGTTTTAAGTTCTAGGATAATGATATTTGATGGATAAGATTCTAAAACACGAATTTTTATGTGTGTCTTTGGCATGCACTTGGTGACCTTACTTGTGATAGTGGAGGCAAGAGTATTGTTGTCTGGTGGGTCCAGCACATAGCCAGATCTCATGTGATCTGCATTCTCAGTCACTGCAAGTCCTGACAAGCTGCGCCCACAGAATTTGTCTGCTGTGGGTTCAGAGAAAGTTCCTCCAGGTTGCATGTCACTCCCATCTCGCCCACCTGGGATGTATAAGTAGTCGTGAGAGTTGAGATCACAAGCTGCAGTGCCTGCTCGACCCACTCCTTCTTCTAGATACATGCCTGAAATAATCAAACTCATAGAGAATTTTGGTAGAGAAACTCCTGGAAAACAATTACTTGGAAGATTGAAATGGAGAGAACAAACTAATGTGTGAGTTTCAATAATGAGAACTGATATGATATGTCATGAAAGGATTAGGAACAATAGTAGGTATCTGTGTTAACAGTGCTGAATCTCTGGGTTACTGTGTAACCAGTGGATTTGCATGATTATGGCCTACCTTGCAGAAGATAACTATTAGAAATGCGAGATGGCATGCACTTGAACTTCTCCAAAGATATTCTTTGCTCTAAGATCAGATTCTGCAGCATTTTACAAACATGAGTCATTATAAGATGTACAAGACATAAAAATTATTGTTCACTATATGCTATAAATGTTGTCTGAAAATTTTCTTCAGTTTGTTAAGTATTAAACAAGATAAAAAATTGCTTTTTACATTGATGTAGAGAGACAGTGGAATAGTCATAACATCTTTTAAAGTGAGGATCAACATGCTGGTAATTAAAATAAATTTAGAAGCAACTGTGGTAAAATCCACCAGAAATATCTGGTAGTGAGTAATGTGTTTTTTTTTATAAATTCTTCTGCAGAATTGCAGACTTCAAAAAATTTACAAAAGGAGCTACTTTGTTAAAAGTTCTACATCTGCCAGCACATTGTTTATTTTGATTTTGAAGTTATAACCAAGCATGACAGTACCAGCAGATATTTTTCAGAAAAAAAGAAACTCTTTAAAACCCAGCTAACTCCACAGTGCACAGTATTTTCCATTAACTGCTGCTGTTACTTAGCTGCTAGACAAAATCCCTGCTATAGAACCCAAAAATTCATTATAAAACTTCACCGCTGGATCCCATCCTGAAACATTTCAATCCAGTTATTGTATTCATAACCTGCTTTCAATAGTACCTCCCATCTAGTTCTAATTCTGTTCCCATGACGACTCTTTATGCATTCACCTCATGTCCTAAGTGACTTCAGTAAGCAACAAATGTCAGGTCGTGGCAGTAACAAAAAAGGCAGAAACGATCATTCAAATTTTCCTGTTCTTCACAAATTTCCTAGAAATACAAAATGTATTTTGAATGAGCATTCTCTTTAGAATTGAGGTTGTAACACAAACCATCTGCTGAGTTAATCCAGAAGACAGAATTCTCACTTTGGTTGAACTCAACACGACATGTGTTTGGGGATCGCTGGATGCAGATAGCATACTCCAGGTTGCTCTGGTAGTGACCACCATCTGCGGGGTCATAGTTGAAGCTCCTGATGTTACCACTGAGGTCTGTGTGGTACTGCAGACATCCATTAGGAGCTACAACATAACAGTATAATTGGTATTTCATTTTCTTCTTGTGACACACCAAATTCAGGATATAATTAATTCTAGTACTGTTAATTTGAGGTCATTTCCAATCAATTCATCATAAAATTAAGCATCCTTTTTTAATGTTCATAAGGAAGAGAAACATAATACCACTCAAGGCAACCAATGATGGGATATGACACCAGGATATTCAGAAATAAACACATCCACTTAGTTATGATAAAATGTGTTCCTACTTACCTACAAGCTCAGGTGTGGTCCTGCAATCGATCTGAGTTGCTCGGATACGCCACTGGTAAGCCTTAGCACCAGATGTCATCACCATAAGAGAGAGAGAGGCACTGCCTACTGTTGCATCCACAGGAACATACACTGCATGCATAATACATGGTGGAGATAAGAGACAAGACCAATAATAATATTATACAGAATGTCTAAATGATTCACTTACAGTGCTGTCCAGCATTTTCACCACACAGCTCTGATATTCCTATGCCGTTCGGCAGTGATGTCATCGCCACAAAGCGATCACCTCGACAGATTCCCATAGTTGTATGTGGCCCCAGCAATGAGAATTCATCTAAGTCAAGCCTGCCAGCATGAACAAACAGCACATTTATAGTGTGGATTTCCTTTCATTTACATACAACTACAGTATTTTTGGGCTGCAGGCTTTACCTCAGCAATGGGTTTTGGGCATCACTCTAACAGAGCATGCAAATCAGTTCCCTGAGGCCCTGCTGTTATGGAACCTGGTTCAATACACTTGATTACTTCACAATCTACTTCTTTGCTGTCAATCATAATAGCAAGTTGGTACCATAGTAAATGATCAAAATTCAATATTGCATGTGATCACAGTTATAAAATATGTCGCACATAGATTCACTATGAACATGATGGTCAGAACATATTCCTGACTCAACTTTCAATAGAAGCTTGTTATAACCATTGAAAAGTTTGCTCTGAAGGGAGGGGGGAGAGGTAATATTCAGCCAAGGCTTTCAGTTTGTTTCACTTTTTTGTTTAAAAATATCACATGTTCTACATATTATAATTGGGTACATAATTTTCTGTCAGAACATTTTATTGTCATGTGACTGAGTGACTATAGACAGGGTTTTGACTGTAGTTGGATTTACTGGAGATTTAAACACATTGTACAGGTCACTGTCACACACAGACTGGTGTTCTCTTAGTCACGGTCTTCACTGCACTGCTTGGTAGCAGCTTCCAACAGTGGACATTCCTTTGCTTCCTGGCTCACGCCTGCATAGACCTGCAACCGTCTCATGCCAACTTTGTTATCTTCTAACTGCCATTTTAGGACTCTACTAGGCTCAAACTGAACTAACTTGCATTGCATAATCGACTCCTTATGCAGCCTTGGCACTGACTGCATATAAATCGCCTTTTCCAACATCTCTGTTGCTACATCATATAACTATTGGCATGGACAACGTAGAGAACATGACGAAGCTGTTGCCTAGCAATGGGCATGTTTGCAGAGCTTTCCCTAGCAACATCTGTCTCTGCTGGCTTCACAGTTTTTGCCTCAAGCAAGTATGCCACAATATGCTCCTTACAATGAATTTTTGCCACTGGCAGCATTCATTTTTGTTATAAGAGACCAAAAGTGGTGCTGTAGGCATAGAAGTATCCCTCTTTGGATATGAATTTCAGTATCTGCGCAGAGAAATTTTTATACAGAACAGTTGAAGTTTCTATGGTAAGTGTTTGTATTGGAACATGTGTCTGAAAAAGACAGAGAAGGGATAGGAAATCCATAAACTCTGTGAAAAAAAGATGGACAATATATGATAATTCATCAGAAACTTGATGGGAGGGAAAGCCATTACACCATTGCCAAGCTTGGGCCTGTCTGCTGCTCTCCGCACTTCCTGTTTGCATACTGTGCAGAATGTACAGTGTCACTGTTGGGAGTTCTGAGAGTCACACTTTCAATGCAGTCATCAATGATTTTAACATCAGTTTGAGTTATCCTGTAACTGATATATGTTCTGTTTGCACATATTTAGAAAATTTAATACGATTATGAACGATTTTGAAAATAAAACTGAATTTATGCACTCATTCAGGTTGCACACACCATGTGCAAATGCTTTTTACAAGCTCCTGTAAATGAGGAATAAACACCATTACTTTCTGCTTTGATTCGTTATAGGTACAGCTTTGCCAAGAATCCAGTCCTGGAAGAATATTACAGTCATCTGCCTAATAGCATGCCTTAAACATAGATTCAAAGTTGTATATATGGGCCGAAAATCAGGAAGATAGGGGAGCAACAGAAATAGCTTCTGCACTACTAAATTAACTGCGTGGTCATAATTTACTGGATACTAAGGTTATTTGCCTATTTTGTGATGACCATGCAAGCCATGACAGTAAGAATCATGTTACTCGCTCCCTGATGAAGTGGCTTATAACAGAATCTCCTGGCAGAATAAAGAGCTTTTTGATTTACATTCAAGTGTATGGTCATAGCTTAGCTATTTGCCAAGTTATCAGGGGCTTGGGAGACATGAGAAGAAACTATGCTCTTATCATGTCTAAGGAGAACTGTCTGGAATGATACTTGGTAAGTGATGAGTGAATGTTATTTGACGAAAGAGAACACCCTCAAAAAATATTGGCTCAATAACTGTAGAATAAATGTCATAAGGAATCAGAAATAGAGCCCAAAATTATATTTCAAAAGAGAGTGACAGAGAGATTGCCAATTTAAAACAAATGAGAAGAGATGCCAATCACTTCTCACTACATTTCTTCCAAAAAGAAAAGGGATGTAAGGAACCTCTTGATGAAGCTGTACGAAGGATCTTACAGAATTGAAAAGTTATGATGGAATGCTGGAGAATAATAGAGAAGAAGAGCACATGGTTCTTCATATATTATATTGTACAGAAAATTGTTATCAGGTGAGGTTTCTGAAACAAAATATATTTACATTCATTGAAACTGAAACACATCTGTACCATGTGTTGCCATAGTTGGATTATTTTAATTTCATGAAGCTACAATATATTCAGGAGAAAGAGGATACTGTATGTTTGAATGCTTTCTTTCAATAAATATCATTTTACATCAAGAGAGCAATGTCTTGTGGCTTAAAAAATTAAACCAACTTGCAGGCTTTGTATGCTTGGTCCTCAGCTACACACATGACTTCCATTTCAAAGAAACTGAATACAAATCCTAGCTGCAGACTTGGGGTACCATCTGAGGTTTTCACGGTTTTGCATAGTATTTTCTGTTATTCATTAATGCTTCCAGGCAAAGCAAGGGATAAGACTTTCATATAAGGTCATGACTATTTGCTCTCATGGCCATACATATATACTCACCTGACTTGGCAGACATTTTTGTTGGTGATATCAATGCGGAAATCACAGAAGGAACCAAGGCGATCTCTGTCAGGGTAGCTTGGGTTCACAAAGTAGGAGATTGCCTGTCGTGTTATGTTGCGGCAGCTCTTCTCAACTGGAAGACAAGTCAAGCCCAACTGGAAGGTAACATGATTGAAAGAAATGGCAAAAAGTGAAATGTTTGTACTAAAGAGGTACCAGTATGTAGCTTACTCATAGTCCTCATCAATCTTATGTTAGATTGGCTAAGTGTCAGTAGCCTAAGAGATTAAATGCTTGAGAAGTCCATCTTTGCAATGGTTATTTTATCTTGTCTTTGGGTCTGTATGTAACTTAATTCCTAAGATACATTGAGGAGCCAGCCTTTCTAAAGTGTTGTACCAGTCTGTTTCCTCCTCTGGGTTATACACTCTCACACCCCTAAGCTCGGTAAAGTGTCTTCTGCTCTGCTTGGAGCTCAACTGTCCTTAGCTCTCATTGAATATGAACTAACTGGTCTCTTGTCGGATAGAAATTAGCTAGTCTCTTGTTGGATATGAACTCAGGCTGAATAAGGAACACCCTGTCAAAGGGTTAATTTTATCGCTGCTATGCAATGAACCTCTTGTTGCCGTGGGAATACATTTCGTTATAAATAACGGTGGAAACCCCACCGTTAGACTTTCATCTCCAGGACGATTTCCTAGGCTTTGCTGCCTATGAATTGCTAGCCGTTGACTAGTGATGGACATCTTATAGTTCTTCTTTCAGGAAGCACGTCACAATATTTTTGAGTAAATAACTATATCCAAGTTTCAAATTGTGCATTTCCCAAAGGCATAGTTTTGCAACTCTGAAAATTTCACTGAATTTGTTCATTTTCACTTTAACTTTTCACTTATTTGGCATAAACGTTGTTACTTGAGGCCTCTCCAGCTTTGTAATTCTTGATTTCTTGTAACTGGTACTAGGTGATCTTTCATCAAGGGTAAAGCCACAGGAGTGTGAAGCTGACCACTCACATACATCTAGTGCCAATGTTAACAATGATGGAGTTATACTCCACATCTTGTCATTCTGCCTAATTTATTAGCACAAGGAAAACTTTATCTTTGCAATCAGTAACAGTAACACGGTATAAATGTGAACTCATCAGGTTATAGCAATATACCTGTGGTCCTGAAATGATGTATTACAATAAATGTGTGAAAAATATGAATATTTTGTGAAGGTTATTTTCACAGAATTTCAAACAATAACATAGCAACTTCGGCCATGTGAAGATTGGTAAAGAGAGATAAACCATAAACCTAACTCCAAATTCTGTATGAAATATAAGTCTTAATCCCATGATTACAGACATGGTAAGAATGAAACTCTGAGGTTGTGCTGGACTATTTAAAATTTAAAACAGACAAATTGTGTACTTCAATAATAATTACAGGGTGATTCAGAAAGATATACACAATTTCAATTGGCTATATTTCCTGAATTATATGTTGCATTTGAATTCTGTAAATTACATTTGATTATACATACATGGAAATTTATAGATGTTCAATGTGCCCCCCTCCGGGTGCACGGATAACATCTAGACGGTAGCTGAATTCATCCCACACTCGATGACAAATATTTTGCTCACTGAGTTCACCGCAGCTGTCATACGGTTTCTTAGGTCATTCAAAGTTGTGGGAAGAGGTGGTACGTAAACTGCATCTTTCACGAATCTCCACAGGAAACGATCGCAGGGTGTGAGATCAGGAGACCTCTGTGGCCAGAACTGAAGTGCCAGGTCTTCATTCCCCATGTGACCTATCCATCCTTGAGGTAGAGATTCATTCAGGAAACGTCGAACGTTCAGGTGCCAATAGGGTGGAGCTCCGTCCTGCTGGAAAATGTAATCTCCTGAATCTTCATTCATTTGAGGAACAAGCCAGTTTTGCAGCATTCTAACATACGTTACTCCAGTAACCGTGTTTTTGTCAAAAAAAGAAAGGTCCATAAAACTTTGATAACAATATTGCACAGAACACATTAACTTTCGGGCTGTCCCTCACATGTTCGAGTGTTACACAGGGATTTTGTAGCCCCCCTATGCGAACATTGTGCCTGTTGACTTTCCCACTTAGGTGAAACGTAGATTCATCGCTAAAAATTACATGAGGCAGAGACAATTCATCTTCCATGTTTTTGAGCACGGTCACAAAATTCTACACGCTTTGCCTTATCGTTTGCGTGAAGAGCCTGTACCAGTTGTAGGTGGTATGGTTTGTACACTAACTGGCGCCTCAATACACGCCAGACAGTTATTTGCGATAGTCCAAGTTCTCTACTAGCACTACGGGTTGACTTCATTGGGCTACGCTCAAAGCCCACTCGAATGCGCTCCACGTTCTCCTCCGATACATGCGATCGGCCCGGGCTTTTACCCTTACACAGAGAGCCAGTTTCATCAAATTGTTTATTCCAATGATAAATGCTATTCCTTGGAGGTTGGATGTTAAACTTACGACGAAATGTGCGCTGCACTGCAGTCGCAGGCTCACTTTTACTAAACTCACGAATGCAAAAAATCTTGTATTAAATAGTAGCCATCTCGCGTACAAGTGATGCGGTGCTGGAGTGCTCTAGCAATAGTAATAGAAACTTTACATCGTCCTCTTTCAAATGCATTTTACAGAATTCAAATGCAACTTATAGTTCAGGAAATATAGCCAATTGAAATTGTGTCCATCTCTCTGAATCACTCTGTATTTCCCTAAAAGATATGTGTGTGGAGGTGGTGGTGGCGGCGATGATGATGATGACGACGACATTGATGACCAATAACACCAATTTTACCATATTTACAATAAAAATTCCTGCAACACAACATTCTGAATCAACTAGGTTTCGAAGTTAATGATTATCTGCACATGAGTACAGCATCCTAACCCACAAGCTGAATTGCATTTTGTTTCTGGATTATGAAACATTAGATAAATCACGTGATTTATAGGATTGGAAATTTGTACTATAGGAAAATATAGCCTCTAGGGAGAAATCTGCAAATTACTAGCAGCAAGGTGAACTATGTACATCTAGTAATATGACCAAGCAACTGCCACTAACAACATAGTCAAGTGAGTGCTACTAGCAGCACGGTGAAGTAAGTGCTATTAGAATCATTATACAGCAAATCCAACTAACATGTGTTACTAGTAATATGGTGAAGGCCGCGCCCTAGCTAAAGCGGTTAGTCGCTGGCTTCCCATCGCGGTGGCCCAGGTTCGATCCCGGGTCTGGTCAAGTGGGATTTGTGGTGGACAAAGTGGCGCTGGGGCAGGTTTTCTCTGAGTGCTTCGGTTTCCACTGCCAAATCGTCATTCCACCAATTGCTCCACAATCACCCTTACCTATCATCTTGGGCTGGTACAATAGGCCAGAAGTGGCTGCAGTGCAAGGGACTTAGTCCCAAACCTCTAGCAATAAAAAAGAAAATATGGTGAAACACGTGGTACTAGCAAAATGATGCATGTGGTGTGAGCAACACAGTGAAGCAAGTAATACTAGCAACTCACCTATGCAGCAGACAGGACCATCATCTCCAGCATCGTCATCACAGAGCCCAACACTCCTGCCATCTAGCTCTGCACATTCGTTCTTAGAGTAACACATTCCAGTTGTCCCATCCAGTGCCCGACATGCCATACTCTCTATGCGAGTTGTTGCTCCATTCTCTGCCTCACTGTTTGTGTTCACATTATTGCTGGATTGGTGTCGGCGTGGAGGCATGAACAGAGACTGATACAGCAGTATGTCTGCAAACAGATCATGCCAGTGTGGAGTTCACAGTGATGTCATAATTTTATGTTTAATGGTGCTGATTTTTAAGGACATTTATTATAAATGATGCTGGTAGTAATTGCTGGGTTGGATGATACTGAAAATGAGAAAATCATGCAGGAGCGTTCATAAATGTTGATGCCTCTGTCAAGGTCCAAGTGTCAGAGCATTAAGATAATTCACATTTACTTATATTTACTTATGTCATACTTGAGATTCCTATAGCAGTAAATACGAAGAGTGCTGTCTTCTGGGAGATGATGCTGTGTAGTCTGGTAGAAAAGTACCAACATTTCAAAGGAACAAGCTACTTCCATCTTCAAGGTAGAATAAAGCAACTCAGCCATGAAACATGAAACATATGCTACTACCAACTTGAGGAAGCATGTGCTAGTAGCAACACAGTGAAGCAAGTAATAATAGGAACACAGTAAAACGGATAATATTAGCAATTTATTTGTGCTGCAGACTGGACTGCCCTCTTCAGTAGCAGCCTCACATAGCTTAACACTCCTGTCACTCTTCTACCTTGAAGATGGAGGCTCCTCAGAATAGTTTATACCTTTGACCAGACTACACAGAGTCACGAAAGTTTATGAAAGTCTTTTGCTGTCTCATGACTATAAACATTACTTTTCTCAAGTACGTTTACATAACAGATACGAGATATTTCTTCAAATTCTAATTCATGATACATATGCAGCTAAATTTGATTTGTTTCATTCTGGTCCATCACACTAACAATTATAAATACAAACCACTCTGTCCAGTGTGACATGTAAGTTTTTACTATGTTAAAACTTATCTCCCTTATGGTGAAAACAACACAGCAAGCCACGAACAAACCCTGGACGACATCAAGAACCTCATCAAGATAGACAGGTGGCACAAAATATGCCCCATACAAGAAGGACGGTAGGAGTACGGACACGAACCTATGTGATTTAAAAAATTTTAACTATTGACAATAAAGGTTTTTTAAATAACATCTAGAAACTTTTAAAAACTTTACAACACCAGGAAGCTGCTGTGATTGTGAAACGTTCGACTTTATGCATACTGTGCATTATAGGATATAAGTGTATGTATTAAAATAAATCAAAACACCTATTGTGATGGTAGTTTCCAGTTTGTAATGATGTTCCCTCTGAAGATGGCCCGTAAGGACCGAAACATGTAAGGGAGATAAGTTTTAACGTAGTAAAAACTTACATGTCACACTGGACGGAGTGGTTTGTATTTATAATATGCTGCTAAGTTTATGATTTATGAAAGGTGAAGCAGCAACTGTAAGTCATTCAACACTTCATCTCATGTTGCAGAATTTATGTACTGCGCTTATGGTCACAGTGCCAATGGTAATTCCAAGCATAAAATTGATTTATTCTGTAATAACAATGCTACAGAATTCTGAGTGTTGTACTGTTTAATTTTTGTTGGAGGTGTATCAACAGCGTTATGATGGACACTGGTTCTGTATTATTTCAGAATCTCAGCTTTTATGAGTAGCAAATGAATAATGAAATGTAAAACCCTTAACTTCACCTTGGGCACCTCCATCCTGGTGCAAATTAACCAGGTTTAGGCCTGAAGACCTCCCCCCTGTAATCCATGACCTTCTGCCTATTCTTTTAAACTTATCAAAGTTTTGTCCATCAAGCACTAAGTTATTTCAGAAAAATTCTATATACTGCAGATGTTTCTGACAACGAATATCTCATACATCTCATATACATTCCAATATTAAGGTACTGCCATGGAAACTGGGTGGAGTGGGATCTCGTTGCCTGCTTCGTGCTCTGTGCACGCCTCTTGTAGCTTCTGGAGTGTTCACTGGTGACCTTGGTCCTCCTCATCAACCAATCGTGTCCAGAATATACCAGAATGTACAAGAAGAATGCAGAAGCCAGGAAATGTAATCCTGTTGCTCTCAGTTCCCGTGACATATATTGACATATGCTACAGTATTTAAATTTAATTGTGCCTTATTGTAAAACAGAAGTCTAATGTTGATCAAATCATTTCTATAGATTTTCAAACAGGTGAACCCCCCCCCCAAATTTAAAACACAACATAAAATTTGTATTTTCTCAGTTATTCTTAGGTAATCAACAAAGTTTAAATGTTTAACAAAAATTCCAAACAGCCCCAACATTTTGCACACAATGTCCAACACAATTAATTTCAGTTGAGTACTAAGCAGGTGGTCCAAGTGCTAATATGCATTACTTCTTTCAAAAATATCTGAGTCGAGTGTCTCTTGGGGTGCCTGCTGCCTGAGCTTACTGTGGTTTTCCTATCTCGTGAAACAAATGGTAGAACTTGCTAAATAACTAAAGTTAATAGTTGCTCAGCTAGTGAAGAAAGTTCATTATCCTGTTCACAAGAGCCCAGCACTGGTCCCTACCCTGAACCAGATGAATCACATCAACACCTTTCCTTTCTGCTTTTTAAGATCCATTTTAATATCCTGACACATATACCTAGGTCTTCCAGTTATCACTCTCTTTCATGTTTTCTGACTAGAACTCTGTGAATCTCTCTTCTTTCCCATATATGCTACACTGGCATGTCCATCTCAACCTCCTTGATTTTATTGTCCCAGTTTTATTTCACAAATCAACATTAGAAAGTTCAAGATTATGAAGTCCAGTCTGCTTCTAATTTTTTCCTGAGTGAGATCTAAACTTCTTAATGTCATTCCCAAATATTTTGTCACATTTTCAAAGGGCCCATTAGCCATATCTTCCTCTATCTTTTCCAGTTCACTGTGTATAATCATTCTCTCATCTCATCTGGAACTCAATAATTTCTCAATTGATACAGGCCCTGTAAGCGATTTATAAACTAAATAACATCAAAATGGATTTTCTATGCATGTTTGAACCATAGGCTGTACCAATCCAAGGTTCATATGCCATGTCTGTCCTTGTAATATTTTAAATAGAAAATGAATCTGCAGAAAGTAATATTATCACACATCTTAGCTGTAACATGAATGAAACTCACTACGCTGGTCACGGTCTGTGGAGTTATCAGCAAATTCAAGTTTTGCCTGACACATCCCTAGCAGGAGCATGATGCAGGATATCGGCGGCAAATGGCAAATCATTCTTCTGCTTGTTCAAACACGAAGCCTAACCTTATTCTCTTCAATGTTTTTACTCTGCAAAAAGAAAGGAAAAAGAAAAGTATTATCAGTTCTTTTGCAGCAAGATGTGCAGTATAATTTTCAATTATGTTCTTTTTATGGAATTCAGAAATTAATCAAGAGCAAACCATGTTCCAAGGTACTGCATAACATTTCATGACATCCTGGAATTTCATGGTAATGATTGTTAGACCAGTCATGAATTCTAAGAACCATCTCTTGCTGGCAATCCTCAACTGCTTATTCAAGATATTCATGGCAACCCTCTATATCTGGGGGTTGTCTCCCGTATCCAAGAGATGAGAATGCATCATGGCATGGTGATAAGGGACCCACTTGAATATCTGAAACTTTTTCTAACAAGAGTGGAGAGGTACTACAATTACTACAATGGAGTACATATATTTTCTAAATGCATTTTAGTGAGTTCATATTTCACTGTTGCTTAATGCACATCGGAAGCCAGAAACATATTTCAGAAAATACTAAGAACTACGAGTTTTCTTTCTTTTTCATTTCATTAGATATTCCACCACACTGAAAAATGTTTCAAACAGATAGGATTCATGCTTTATGTTCTGTACTAATTATTTTGAAGAAGAAGAAGTAATTTTTGAGAAAAATGTGTTTGAATATAAAATTATGTAAGGTAGGTGTTATGGTGGTATGATACAGAAATTCATGCAGGAACTTTCACTGTAGATCCAAAATGTGAAAATTCACCTGAAATCTGTGAAGGAGTTTTAGAGACAAAATGTAGGCAGATATGACCTACCAAGTTATGGTCATTTTAAACACTGTGTGCAAAGAGTACATAAAAGGTTTTTAATGTTATTACAAACTATTAAGGGGGGACACGGTAGCGTAGGTGGTTGAGGGTCTATGCTACAAGCTGGAAGGTCGCGGGTTCAAGTCTCAATGAGGTCATTAGATTTTTTCAATTGACCTAATCCTTCCAGCCACACTATGGCCCTGGGGTCGACTCAGCCTCTAACAGAAATGAGTGCCAGGAATAAATTAAATAATTTTCCTGGGGAGTAAAGTGCGGAAGGCGCGTAAGGCTGACAACCTTACTGCCATCTGTGAGCTGACTGTCTAGATAATGTGGGACCCTCAACGTCTCACAACCCTATGGGCCTTCACGGCCTGTTACACGGATAGCTTTACTTTACTTACTTTTACAAACTATTAAGCCTGCCTGGCACTATTATGTGCGCGCATGCATGCACACACACACAAAACAGAAAAATTATCTACAAATTATGTATTATAAAAATCTACCTACTCTGATGTTGTCATGTAGAGTAATGCCTCTTTAAACAGCTTTCTCTGATATACCTAATTTTTCCAGGCCCTTTCTTATATTCTGTTAAGAGAACTGTTACTTGAATTTTATTTTGGCAAGGGTTTTAAGAAATAAAATCCTGAATTTAATATACTAATGTTATATAATTTTAGAGGTTTTCAAGGCGGTGGTTGTTTGGATTGTGTCACCATGTTGTGCTGCAGGCCTACACAGTGCTAAAATCAAGACCACAATCGACACTAATATCCACAAAACAAGTTCTATGGGAATACATTCTAAATGTTCATCACAAACATTTCTTCTGAATATGATAAAAGAAACCTCCTCAAGCCACCCCCAAAATTTTAATTATGAGAAGAGTTGTGGGTAAATCCCTCTCCCCACCCAACAGCTGTCACCATGTTCAAAACCTTATCTTTCTTTTTTCTAAGAAATTTTGTTTCTTTAATCTCTAGAAAAGTTTATAATTAGGATTCTATAGTATATAAGTTGTATGTTACCACTGCGGCTGTTGCTGTCTCCAATTGCACTCCTTGTATATTGCTGGTGCAAAACTGCTGAAAGAATATTTATACCAGCAGCAGGCTGACCTGCCATCCCATTGTCTGAGTTCACTAACCTCAGCTGGTCACCCTACAGCTATACAAAATTACTGTTAACTGTGCTCACACCAAAAATTGTCTGCTTCAGTACTTATGTACAGTGAATAAGCTAAAGTGGTCTGGAAATGGACTGAATGTTCTGCATTGCACTGACCAATTTCTGGGCTGATATCCATAAGTACTTGATTAATAGTAAAATTAATTTTATTTATTACATTTGGGAGGGGGGGGGCTTTGAAATTTGAAAACTTAAAGTTACAACTGAAACCCAAGTTTTACTTTGTAGCAGGGAGTACAATATGGCATAATTATGCCAAGTGTCTGAATTGTATGCTGTGCTGACCTGGCAACTCTGTAATTAAGGATGACTTGCTACTTATACAGCAACGGGATTCAAGGTGCTGCATCATGCTCCTTTGTGAAGACCGTTAGACTGACTCCATTCATCATTTCGGTTCAACCTGTCAGAAGAGATGGAGTTATATAGTATGATAATTAGTTCATGCAGTGACATGATCACTAACTCTTATTTCCCTTCTCTTAAAATTTAATTGAAACTCGTCCAAGGAACCAAGAAATGGTTCAAGCTGTTTCAGACATTATAATATTCTTTTAATGTCTTGATGCTGTTTTTTGAATACAGGACTCAGTAATACAGGTGAATCTTTCATGTCTCAACTAGAGTATTGAATATTTTAAGGCTAAAGATACAAATGAAGACTGTGATCAGGACAAATTGTGAATTGATGGGCCCAAGTCAGGTCTTAATATCATCTCTGCTGAAGAACCACTGAGGAAGTACATGTAAAAGGGAATAATGTACGAGTATATTAATTGAATTCACAACTGCTTTACCTGTAAGACATTCCCATATGTTATAATTGTTATTTTTGTATCATGTAAGACCTTTTACTAACTATTCCTGGTGCTTGGATGGTAAATGGCTTACATGAACACTTCCTTGGGCTGAAAATTGAGGAGATGGCCACCAGTATGAGGTTAAAAATCCTTCACTAAAACGAGTGGCTATAAATTTCAACACAAAGTTTCAGAGCTCAAATGAGACTGACATTTAATGATGGTGCTGCAATTGTGGTCTTATGGGAGAACCCCTGAAGACAAAGGCAGCTGGTTCCTCTGTTGGTTGTTAACAATCTTCAGTGATAATTAGGCAAGGAGGGAATGATTTAGAAATTATGCAATCAAATGTCTTGGCACAGAATATAACATTTCTGTTCCATAGTGAAGACAGCAGATACAAATCACAGTTAGAAACAAGTTACCTTGAGGCTCACATGGATTGCAAATTCCAGGTAAACGACTGAATATACCATAAAGCAGGCTACAACCCTGGTCGTCATAATATAAGCTACAACCACTTCTTTCTGCACCTTTACTAATCACTAATCATAATTATTCTACCAACTTTTAGTTAATAGTACATAATTTCTGATGAAAAAACATAAAACTAATTCCCAGCAGGAACTACTGGCCATTGTGGGGATACTGGAACATTTCCATAAGTACCTCAATGGACAAGAGTTCCACCTGCACTAACCTGGCTTATGAGTTTTAGTAACCTCAAAGAACAAACCACCAGCTGGATTTAGTGCCTACAAGAACACAACTTCAATTTCAAGCAACTTGAAGGCCGAAAACAACAATGCGGATGCCCTTTCCTGTTGACCATTCTAAGAACTGACACAAAGTAGAGAGGCATGGGCAGACACCCAGCAGGTATAAGCTGTAATGTCTGTAGCTGCAGCTGGCTGGGACCCAGCCACTCTAAGAAGGGAGCAATTCTATAGGAAGTATAGGAGGACAACGCCCAGAATGGAAAGATATCACCGACCACAGTCCAACGTGCTAAAGCTATTGGGCCCAATGGAAATTCCTCGCTGTGAGGAATGGCATACTAGAGCACCAATAGGTATCTGCCGACAGACAATGAAAAATGGCCCAGATAGTTCTCCCTTGGAGCAGAGCGAATGGCATGCTGACCGAGCTACATGGTGGGCCATCAGGAGGTCACTTGGGTGTCAACAAGACCCTGAATAAGGCAGGCAAAGGTACTACTGGCTGCAGGTAAGAAACGATCTTGAGAAATGTGGTGGCAGTGCAACACTTGTTCAGCCAGTCATGGCCCCAAAACCAGAAATTGAGGCCAAATACATAATTATGAGATCGGAGGCTCCATTTGAAACGACAGCTATTGTTGTAGCAGGGCTCCTACCATGGAGCGACGAAGGAAACCGATATCTCCTGATTGCTATGGACTATTTTACCTTGAGGCTGGAAGCCTAGGCCATTCTCAACCAAGAGCCTTTGACAGTGGCAGGAGTGCTGGTTACCAACTTCCTCTGCCGCTCTGGAGTACCGCAGGAGCTACATAGTGACCAGAGCAGTAACGTTGAGTCCCGTCTGATACAGGAGATTTTGCAACGCCTGGGAGTGAGCATGACCCGCACCACACCTCTCCACCCGTAACTGGACGGCATGGTCGAGCACTACATCGAAAATGTCGAGGAGCACCTATGAAAAGTTTTCGCGTGGCACCAGAGGGATTGGGATGCAAGATTACCCATCTGCCTCCTTGCTTACAGGGCAACCCCCCACGACACTACTGGCTTGACCCCGGCTAGCCTAGTGTTCGGAAGCGAACTCCCACTGTCCTGCGACCTACTGTTTGGGGAAACCCCCAGATGATGAACGACTCACAATCGATCACGCGTCAAATTGAGTGGACCATCTACATGACATCCACAATTATGGCCATCAACACCTGAAGATGGCCTGTGACGGGAACAAAAAAACTCGTTACAGCAGACTGGCCAACTGCGCGGGCTACCACGAGGGCAACGACTTGTGGCTCCGTCGACCAACCCGCACGAACGGAAAGTCACCCAAGCTTCATTCCCCATGGGAGGGCCCATACAAGATAGTCACCCGGATAAATGATGTATACAGGATTCAGCGAAATCCTACATCGAGGATGATGGTGGTACACCTGGACCAGCTCGCACCTTATCAGGGGACCGCTCGGGATGAGCGGCTTTAAGGAGAGAGCAGTGGAAGCAGTGGGGTAGTAATCACCGCGAGATCCACGAGGAAGGAAGGCAAGGCCCTTGAAAAACAAAAAGAAATGGCTGTATGCCTGTGGCTATTCGGGACGATTAGCCTTGAGCGTGCAACGTGGCATATAGACACGTTGCTAGGTAACGACCGCGAAATAAGCAACTATACAACAGTCGTTGCTAAGTAATGGCTCTGCAAACAACGGCCGTTGCTAGGCAAAGACTGAGTATCGATCACGTGGACACCCCAACATACACGAACGCAACAATTGCACAGCAACAGAGGAACGGTGTTTTCTGTGCAGCCCGTACCGAAATGTTATAAGCAGGACAAGTTGGGAACTGCAGAGTTGGCGGTGAGTTGAGTTGGTTCACGAGTCAGTGAGTGAGATAGATAACCGCTGGGGTTCAGTTGCGAGAAGCTGGTAGCTGAGGCCGGGGACAGTTCGGAAACACAGAGGAAGGGGAACGTCCGCCATTGTAAACCATTACCGAGCAACGGCTAGTGAAGACTGGAACGTGCTAAGAAGACCTAGTATGTCCTATAGCGAAAAGTGAAGTGCGTAGAAAAGTTGAGAGAATAATCCTTCCTTGTCGTTTGAAGTTGTGACAGTTCAATAAACCCAATTACCAATACCCCCTTCTATAGTCACTAAAATGGCGACAATATATTTAAGGTTGATTACAAACAAATTATAAAAGAATTTTATCTCATATTAATTAAAAAGAAGACTACAACGTGTGGTTTTTAAAACGAATTAGAGCAGTGAAACAGTGTAGCAGTTTCGACAAAATTTTAATTGAATATCTGTAAAAAACACCTGAAGATGGCCGATTGAGGCCGAAACATGCAGTGTTAGAGAGTGTATTGAAGTGTAAAATAAAAAGGGTTGCAATTTAGAAGGATTATAGACAAATGGACGCTAATGTGGACAATTGCAACAGGATGCTGAAATACAGAATTAACTATCCATGTTGCAATCAACCCTGAATATTATCCACTACATTGCAATACTTTCTCTCAACGCAAGTTTATATATTGTATATTTTTCTACATTTCACGAAATGAATGTTTTAATTACGGAAGTTCATGACTGAATGAATGAATGAATGAATGAAAGACTGCGAAGCCGCAGTTTGCAATATCCTGGGGCAATATACGATTTAGATTGTAAGCAGCTTATTAGCTCACTCGTAAGATTGTTTCCTGTTTCTTCCTGCTGTTGTTGTGAACGGCGTTCCTTTCACACCATTCAGAATTGTTTTACTGCCGTGTAGTAGATAATACGTAATTATGATTTGAAAGAACAATGAAGCACTGAAATCTCACATATTCCATCAACGTTGCAATGCTGCAGAAACGCACCGATGCTTCTCCTGTTCCATTCCGGAGTATTCAGAACATAATGTATTTGCAAAGCATGCAGCAGACTTCCTGATTTTAGTTAATAATATTGTGACATTTAGAACTATTGCTATGGAACGACTCGGCAAACAAGCCCGCAAAAAATACACAACCAACTATAGAACCAGTGTGTTTTCTGTTCTATGGTCCGACCAGAGGTTATATAATGAGAAGACAATAGTAACTGAGCGCCCGTCCTCTCGTCAGAGAGAGCGCCCCACAATAACAAGGCCTAAACTGTCAAACAGTAATAAATATCTGGTCATGAGCCACAGATTGGGCTAGACACCAAGATTGACTAACTGACTGACCGTCAGTCGTAATGTGACTTTGACTAACTGACCGCCCGGAGCCAACCCGTGTGGAGGCGGGTCGAATACCTCCACCGTGACCCTGCAAGTGGTAGAAGGCGACGGAAGGGGAAGTCTCAAAGCTGAGAGA